AGGAGAGGTGGAGGGGAAACTGACAAAGGAGAGCTCGGTTCTTGGTAAATCACGGTGGAGCCGCTCATCCGGGTCTTCTTGGCTCCTCCCCCGGTGCTACTGGTGGAAACATTGGCGGAGCCACTCTTGTGAAACACCCTGGATATCACCCATTCATCCTGTGCAAAATATGAATACTTTACTTTCAATCCAAGTAACTGGAGGTTAATAAAAGAAAGAAACAAAGGATAAACATGAACCCTGTTAATTAGAAAACAGCATTTAAGATATCATATTACTGTCAAATCTCTGCACTTTTCAGTGTAAACCTGAAAAAGAACAGTTAAATAACAATGCTCTGTTCATATTTCAAACTAAGAACCATTACTTTACCAGGCAATATCAATCTAAAATCCTATGATTTCATCATTAAAATGAGAAATGGAAATTACATAACCCATTGGAATAAGTGCAGGAGACATGAAATTAATAATTTACACTAGATAGTATAATTGCTTTACGGAATAAGGATGCAGAAATTGCGGGTATTTAAATCCCAAAAGAACAAGACAGAAGCTCCTGTATTGTCTGCAAGGCAGTGCAAATGGCATTAACATTGCCCAACATACCATATTCAGCTCCTTAAATGAAACAACAGCATACGGAAAACATTGATACTTTTGTGTTTTTTAAAGCTAAACCATAACCAACATGAACTTACTACAAAACAGCCGATATTCATGACAGATGAGAGGAGAGAATGAGACCTTTGAGCACCTGGAGAGATAATGGTACGCAAATTTGCCTTCAAGGCGATATTCATGCATGACCCAGTTGCTCTTTTCACCTTTAGGAGCTCTACCTCTATAAAAAAACCAACGTCTTCTTCATTCCAACAAGTGCAAAAGTCTTTGAACTGTAAATCTCCCTATCTTTCCCAGTGGCTTTCCAATAACCAGCTTCCGTTGCTCGGTTAGTTCTCAACCCAGTTGGGAACTTCCTATCTCTCAAGCTGAAAAAATACCACTCTTTCTCTCCCATCTTTGCCTTTCCTGCCACGTTACATGACCAAAATGTAACAAACAAAAGAGTAGTGGGTGAAAAATGTTAAAATGATCACTCACCAGGAAGCTCCCATGGATCGGACTTGTTGAGATCAACCTCAGCTATAGCTCTACCAGTGAAGCTACTGTCAAGAACTTTCTTCAACAGAAATTAATTACAAAATTATCACCTAGACGATGTCCACTATAGGGAGGTGGCGCGTGCGGCGCGTGAACAGTAACCCGGTGTCGGAAAATTCCCGGAAAAATTCTTAAAAATTATTTTAAGAGATTTTGAAGCACTTACAAAGCTCGGTTCACAATTTTGAATGGCGGAGAGCTCGATTCCGAAACGTCGGAAACTTTGACGGTCTCACCCCTCCACGCACCGGCGACGATGGAGAAACGGAGAACACCGGTAGACTCGGAACGATGCAAGGAAAACGATGGTACGGGAGGTGTCGTAAACGGATGATTGGATCGTCGTGAATCGCCAAAAAACCAACTGAAACTGGGTTATTACCGACGATACTTCCGACTGAAATTAACGTCGAACGACGACAATTCACGACGAAAAGTTTGAGGTGTTTTGTTCCTCGGTCGACAACGAACACGATGACGGTTTTAGTTCGTCGATTGAAGGTCGGAGGACGAGTAGATCGGAGTTCAAAGGTGAGTTGAGGGAGAAGAGAAAACTGGAAAATATGCAGAAAACACGGAAGGATTATAATTCATCTCATAAATAAAAATGGTTAAACTATGAGTTTAGCCACTGAATTTCCTGCACTTCTTAAAACGGTCTGTCAACTTTGAAATTTTACAATTTAATCCACTGTTTCTTTCAAAATGCCAATTAAATCCAATATTTTATAATTTTTAAAAATTTAGCCCAAAAATTGGGGTGTTACACGAATTTAGACCAAATCAATCTCCACACTGGATCTTTCACCTTGCCAACACTAGCCAATTTTGAGTAATATGATTTGGGGATGTACCTGCCATCAGCAGAACCTAACCAATTTAATTTGTCTAGGCATGAAACTGAGCTCACAACTCTATTCAAAACATGAATGAAATCGATCCACATTTGCTTTTCTCATTCAAAAAGATCTCTTCTCAATTCAATCCTCAATTCCCATACTCCATGAACTCGATGCCCAAAATCATTGATCTTCCCTGATTTATTAACCGCTACACTAAAAATTCTCGGAAAAGATGATTTTAGAGAATCAAATTATGTCCAGTGATCCAACCAAAAATCGATCTTATTCCCATTACCCATTACACATCTCACTTAGGAAAGAAACTCAATCTCATTGGAAACGACCAGATTAACAATGTTACGCCACACCCAAGAAGAATTTCTAACATTAACAGTTTTTTGGAGAATTGAATCCTTATCGTAGTTGTACTTAGCTATTACTATCTTTCTCCATAAACTATCATTATCCTCACTGAACCGCCAAATCCATTTATTAAGCAAAGCTCGGTTCCTAGTTTTAACATCATAAATACCCAAACCCCGATGCGATTTTGGTCCACATAAGTTGTCCCACTTAATCTAGTGAATACTCTTATCCGATTTTGGAGGCGACTCCTTGAACCGTATTTTATTTTTATTTAAAGGGAATCCCAAATTTTTCGAAGCGAGAGATTTTTTTTTAAAATCACATTACACTTTTTTGATTAAAAACTAATCAAAAGAGATAAATTAAAAAATATGTGATTTTTTTAAATCTCAAGAGAAAAAAATCGTTTCGACAACGATGATAGAATTTAAACTTGATCTTAGAAACTCAAATTCTTGAATCCCAACCATTTGTATCAACACTCGTTTGCACCTACCTCTCTTGTTTGTCTCCTCTATTGATGATTAATGTTATTTTATAATATTGCAATTTCATTATGTATTGACATTCCTCGTAATATAAACGACACGGTTATTTATTAAATAAACGCGAATGAAAAGAGCCAATCCTTGGTTGTTAAAAGAATTTTCTTCACAATTAAAGTCTGACCCTAAATTAATTACTTAGTTTTCCTCTCGCTGATTAAAGCCGATCCTTGGTTGTAATGAGGGATTCATATAAACATTTATATTAGGATATGAATTTATAAAATTTTGAAAAAAAATTGTAAAATTTTAGAGGATGAAAATATATATAAAATATATAAGACTTTAAAATTTTTAAGAGAAAGATTGCTCTCATCCATCTTCTCTCGATCCATTCTTTATTGTAACAGTTTCAACTGAATTGGAATCTTTATTAGAAACCATTTGTTTACAGAAGAATTTAAGAAATACATGGGGTTGGAGATGGGATGTTCAAAGGAAAACCATGTCTTAAAATACTCACCAACAGTATGATTCCAGTAAAGAGTCGTCAAAAAATGAAGAAAACGGGGAACAATTCGAGCCTTGTTCTTTAGAATTAATGACTGAATGATTAAATATACCAAAAATAAATTATACAATATTTATTTTAAGTGTTGATTGTTGAATAAAACATTCATTTATTTTAAATTTATTAAACGGTCTCAATGATTAAAAAAATATTATTAACCTAAAATTTTTTAAATCCTAATAATTGCATCTATAAAATATTTTTACATCGTCAACTAATTAAAAAAATCTTTTAAAAAATCATCTGTTTTATTATATAAAATTTCATCTCCAAAAGTCTTCCCCTTCTCAATTAAATAAGGTTGGCTATTCGTCTTCCTAGCTTTCACACCCGAAGCAATATATTAAATGTTTTCAGAAGTTATACGGTGTCCTTCCATCCACCGGGGAGTCGTTTTCTAATATAATCATTTATTTATCTATTATATTAATAATCATTTAAAAAATTAGGGTGTTTATGGAGTAAATCGATCATAAATTAAATAATATTTAATTTAAAACAAAAATTATTCTATTTATGCTTGATTCAACTCATTATTTATTAAACTCAACTAAGTTATATTTGACTTGTGCTCGTTAAAAAAACTCGTAACTGATTAAGCAAGGTTAGGGGTTCAAAACATTGCGTTTGCAATTTCAAAACTAGTGTCATAACAATTTCAAGTCTAAACACCAAAATAATAATTAACAATTATATCAAATTAAATATTACAACCCAAAACCAACAACTAATTGATCTAGTGCGATGAGATATGTTAGGTATGACTCATATATATACGGCACAGGGTTAATTATGTAATTGTGTACCAGATTTTTTATTATAAATAGAGATGTAACCTAAACCTATGAGACATTGAATAAAACTTCTAGTGCCGCCTAGGCACCGAGGACGTAAGCACATTGTCGAACCTCATTAAAAATTCTTGTGTTCTTTCGTTTTCTTTATCCATTTCGTCAATAAGATACTAGATTCCTTAAGTAAGGTTAGAGATTCAAAACCTTGCATTTGCAAATGGAATAAATGAGTTAGGAGGGTCGTCCTCATCTCTACAATACATGATCTGAATTAGTTGATCAATAGTTCGGATACTAGTGATTAACTAAAAAAACATATTACAACCAAAATAATAATCCATAAATTTATCAAAATAACGTATTATAATTATTTTTGAAAAATATTGATAATATATAATTAATCTTAAAAAAAACTAATTGTTCACAAACTTATCAAATAGATATAAACTTTATTTAAATCAATTTGAATTAAATATTTATTGAAATTTGAACTAGTCAAGCTTAAGATACTAACGAAATCGACTGATAGATCGAATATTATTTTTTAATTAAATTAAAATAAAAGTATGGCCTTTATTACCTATTAATTCATCTCACAAAAATAATTGCTTGGTCTTAGCCTGGTTTTTCAATTAAATAAGACCGCTAATGAAGACTTTTGAAAAAGACGTTTTATTTTCTAAGGGGATATTTAAAATCCTCTCTCGAAGTCTTTCTTTCTCTCAATTATATAAGACTGGTTGTTTGTCTTCCTTCTTTTCACACCCTAACATCAAATATTGCATCCCTTCCTCACTAGTGAATACTTTGTGTATATTAATTGACCTTATTGCCGCTAAGAGTCTAAAACATTTGAGCTCTGATTTCCAATTGTTTTACGAGAATTGCTTCCTTTCCATAAACAATTTGAAGAAATTTCTGAGCACAGGAAAAGAGTTCACTATCATGGCTTGGTCAGCTGTGGCATCTGCAGTGACAACAATCGGCAAGCTGCTAACCGACGAAGCAGTCTACCTATGGGGCGTGGAAAAGCAAGTCGATCGTTTGCAAACTAAGCTCAAGTGGATGCAAAGCTTATTGCTGGAGGCCGATGTTAAACAGCATGACGACGAGAGGATTCGTCTTTTGGTTGCTGAAATCAGAGAGCTTGCCTATGATGCCGAGGACGTTATCGAGGATTTCGCTCTCAGGATTGGGTCCAAAAAGAAGGCTGGTCTTTCCGGTTGCATCAAAAGATCCGCCTGCCTCTTGAAAGATGGATGGACGCTCCACGAAACACGTTCAAAGATCGAGGAAATCTTTGAGAAAATACTCGACTTGCTCGGACGATTACAAGTGTATGGCGTGAAGGGATTGAGGGATGGGGATGGGTCGAGTTCTTTCATTGCAAAGCAGGAGTTAAGGCGGCCTTATCCTCATATTATAGATCAAAATTATGTTGAGCGAAATGATGGTGACATAGAGAAATTGGTTTCAGAACTTGTCGAGGGAACTCAATTCAAGGTTGTTTCCATATGGGGAATGGGTGGTCTGGGGAAGACCACTCTTGCCAAGAAACTATATCATCACAGCCGAGTTACAAGCCGTTTCGAGCACAGAGCTTTTGTATTTGTCTCTCAACAATTCCAAACTAGAAAAGTTTGGAAAGACATTCTATCTGATTTGGGAAAATTGGGTGAAAATGACGGGAAGCTGACCGACGTGGCATTAGCAAGCAAGTTGTTTAACTTGTTGAAAGATGAAAAATGTTTGGTAACATTGGATGATGTTTGGAGCAGCGAGGCTTGGGATCGCCTCAAACCTGCGTTTCCAGTTGCAAGGGGCATCCATAGCAATAGTAAGATATTGCTCACCTCTCGAAACAAGGAGATAGTTTCCCAAACAGATGCAAGCGTTTATTTGTATGAGTTGCCAATTTTGAACGATGAAGAAAGTTGGGAATTGTTTCAAAAAATTGCGTTTCCTTCAGATTCTACAGGTACGTATGTCTACATTGCAAAGTTATTTACCATCATATATGTATATACCTATATTCTACTCTATACCTTAAACTTATTTTTTAGGTTGTTTCATTAGATTTTTGACAACAAATCAATTTCTTTTTAAATAATATGTATTTGGAAACTATATTATACTTGGATTTGAGTATAATTATACATGAGTGGCATGCAAGCTAATCATTGTAATTAGTGAGTTCCAAATTGGCTGTAATTGAAGCTTTCAAATTATAGTCTCCTATTTTTAGAGAGTGAGAATTGAAGGAAATATATTTTAATAATGATAATTTCTAAACATTTTATTCATTTTTAATTAATAAATCTCACTTAATTGTGTGTAACTATATTTTATTAATTAAATATATCTTGAAAATTAAAATTAATTGTAATTAATTGAAATTGCAATTAATGATACTTTCTTATAATTATACTGTGGCGTCCAAACATGTCATTAGTGTAGATTAAATAAACAAGGCCTTATAAATTTAATATCTTTATATTATATTTTTTAAAAATAATATAAGTAATTGTAATAAAAAAATATAATATAAGTAATACTGTTAGAACTAATTAGTAATAATAAATTAAAATATTTTACATAGATAATATACATAGATAAATTTTTTTGACAAATTTTATATCTAATCTTAACCCTACCTAAAGGGAAGGGGAAAGGAAGGGAAGTACTCCTAGTGGGTCTAGGAAGAGAACAAAGATGAAACTTGATCAACCAACTAAATATGCTTGTTCACGTAAATAAAAAATTATTTCATTAATCCTTTATATATATATATTATGCTTAGTTTCTTAAGTAGTTTATGCGACTATGTGTTCAATCAAGACAAACATATAAATTATAACTTGATTTGGACATATTTTGCAATAATTTGAACATATTTTCTAGCTTCAAAGATATTTAACAATGATAAAAAATACGTATAATTAATTTTTTGATTGGGATAATAATTAATTATATGAGAGTGTAATTAATTATACTTTTTTATAATTATTATGTGGCGTCCAAATATATCCTTAATATTAATTAAATAAACAAATTTGCAAAATTTTAAGTAGCAGTCAGGATTACATATACCTAAATGTGAGTAATAGGTAGATTTAATATTTTTGTATTATATTGTGAAATAATATAAGTAATACTATTAGAAATAAGTTGTAATAATAGATTAAAACATATTATATAGATAATTATATCAGGAATCATTGAAGTGTATATATATATATATTCTATCTTAAGTAGTTTATGCGACTTTATGTTAAAGCAAGACATATAAACTATGTTTGAAAATTCTTTTTTTGACATTTGCAATAATTTGAATATATTTTCTAGCTTCGAAGATATTTAACAATGATAACAAATATATAATTAATTGTTTGATTGAGGTAATAAACTTAACGTATATAATATATATAAAAAAAGATAATCATAGATAAGTATTATTTTCTAAGAGGTTCTCCTGGCAACTAATCAACTTAGCTGCCATTTAAAAAATATATATATTTTATTTATGATTAAATAGTTGCACTTGTTCCATAGTGTAGGAACTTCTTAATATCTCTGGATCATCTACTTTCTAATTTCTCCTATTATTTAAAGAAAATAAAACTATAGGTGGACCACTATTATTGTAGGTGTTCAAAACAATGTTCATTCCAAATGTATTTATAGAAATTTTTACCTATGAAAATCTATATAAAAAAAGATGTTGATTCCTGATTTTGAGTAGTAATCATTGAGCCCTTCGTATTGTGCAGATAAAACGGTTGATGGTGAGATAAAGGAGTTCAGGCAAGACAAGGGCAAACGACGTGCAGATGATACGGTTGATGGTGAGATAAAGGAGTTGGGACAAGACAAGGGTAGACAATGTGCTGATGATACAGTTGATGATAAGAAAAAGAAGTTGGGACAAGACAATGGTAAACGACGTGTAGATGATACGGTTGATGATAAGAAAAAGGAGTTGGGAAAAGACGAGGGTAAACAATGTGCTGATGATAAGAAAAAAGAGTTGGGAAAAGTAATGGTTGAACAATGTGGAGGGTTGCCATTAGCCATAATTTTGTTGGGAGGAATTTTGGCTAATAAAAGCTCATTGGATGAATGGCAAAAGGTGAGTGAAAATGTTAAATCATACTTGAATAGAAGCAAAGTCCAAGGCCAAGGAACTAGGGAAGTGTTAGCATTAAGCTATGATGATTTACCTGCCCATTTAAGATCCTGTTTTCTTTATTTAAGCCATTTCCCAGAGGATTATCAGATAGAGGCAGAAAGATTGATTCAATTATGGGTTGCTGAAGGTATAGTTTCATCAACGGAAGAAGGGGACGGGGAGTGGGGAGTCGCAGAAGATGTGGCAGAGAATTACTTAATGGAGCTTGCGGAAAGGTGCATGATTCAAGTACGAGACAGAGACGTTGTAACCTCAAAGGTCGAAACAATTCAGATGCATGACCTAATAAGAGACCTTTGCTTGTCAAAAGCAAAAGAAGAGAACTTCGTCTTCATTGTAGATGAGTCAAATGCATTCTCGTTGTCCACAATTCGAAAGGTTCGCAGAGTTTCTATGCACGAGCTCTTTGAGACAAAGTACATTAGATGTCCAAATCTTCGATCACTTTCCTTCTTTAATAAAAGGCATCTAAGAGAGTTATTTGAGGTAGAAACACCTTCGGCCTGTACAAAAAGTCCATTCAGTCGGCTGCATTGTTTTTGGGATATTTTGGCTGCATATATTAGTTTTCTAAAAGCTCGGGGATTTTGGGTACATATATTCATCAATTTGAAATTGATCAGAGTTCTAAACTATGAAGGGAGGAAAACATATGCGGATTGCAAGTTAATCGGTGATATTGGGAATCTCATTCATTTAAGATTCTTGAGTCTAGTAGGAATCGTATTCAGAAGTACAAAATTGCCATCATCTCTGGGAAACTTAAGATGCTTGCAAACCTTGGATTTACAAATTCGTGAAAAGGATATCCACGTACCTGACGTGATATGGAGGATGGAGGAACTGAGACATCTATATCTCCCTTACTGTTGTGATGACAAAACAAAGTTGAGGTTGGATACTTTGAGAAAGCTCCTCACATTAGTGAACTTCAAAACCAAGAATTGTTATCTGAAGGATCTTAGCAACATGACAAAGCTTAGAGAGTTGCTGATTCAAGGGCCTTTCGAGATTGAAGATTTTAACGAGGAGTTGGACAATAATCCACCCATAATCCGAAGTAAATATCTTCACACCTTGTATATTTTTAGTGAGAGAATAGATATAAGACATTTGACATGCCTCCTCTCAAGCTGCGTTAGCATTTGTAAGTTGACAATACGAGCGGTGATAAGTAAGTTGCCAGAGCACTTGTCTTCAAATCTCGCTTACATAAGGTTGGAAAATTGCAAGCTTCAGGAAGATCCAATGCCAACACTAGAGAAGCTGCCTAACTTAAGGTTTCTTAAGTTCGTTAGGAAACCTTTCATTGGAAAGCAAATGTGTTGCTCTGCACAAGGTTTTCCTAAACTGGAGTCTTTGAGCCTTTGTGATCTTAAGATGCTGGAGCAGTGGAAGGTGGATAAAGGAGCCATGCCTTGTCTTCGACAATTGGAGATTGAAAACTGTGAAAAGTTAAAGATGCTTCCAGATGAATTGAGGTTCATTACAACCCTCCAAGAACTGGAGACTAAAAAAATGCCAAAGGAATTCCATGATAAAGTGGTGCAAGGAGGACAAGATTCCGACGAAGTCCAAGATATTTGGTCATATTCCAGGACATACAAACGGCGATATACCACTAACTCGGAGGTAATTTCTAAATCTCTGTTATAGGAAATGCTCAATCCTTTTATATTTATTCACTGCTATATGCTTTGCACATTTAGATCCTAATTTGAAGCACATAATTATTCTAGATAAATGCATTGCTCATAAATCTTAAGATAACTCAATTTTGTAAGTCTGAAATCAAAAATCTGAGTTTGGTTTTTATTCCTCTTCTTTTTTAAAAAATTTCAGGGAGGAGACAGGTCGTCTATTTGGATTTGATCCATGGAAACGGTAATCGTTTGTTTTCCAACCAGTTGTCTTAAACATGATTCATAGCTGCTGCAACTTCAATTTTTCTTCTTAATATTTGAGTTTTTCCTTTCCAAAACAAATCTGTATATTTTTTTCTTCTAAATCTTTAATGTTTTGTTTACAATTAAATAAATTTTCTTCTGAAATTGACTTTTTTCCCCTTTTATATTTTCTTAATTTTCTTCTTCTACAGGAAAAGAAGGCATTATATGGAAAATTGTGTTGTCGTTTGTTTAAGAATTGGTGTGAGATTATTATTTTGTAAGATTATGTTGTATGGTGTGGATTCTATTGTTCTTGACATGAGATTTGCTTTCAACTTCAGATTAGATTCGAGTGTGTGGTGTGTTATTTTCGATTCCTTTAAACTTCAGGATTGGTTGTTTGAATTGTAATCCATTGCTGTTTAAGCAAGCATGTTGGTTTGGTTGGGTGATGAATTGGTTGAATAAAGACCCTTCTGTTATTTGTCTGTTTCCCGTGATTGTAAATGTTCAAAATTATCATAACGCACCTCACTATGTCTATGGTGCTGCCTATTTCAAACATCTTTAATTAGTGGTGTGCGTATGTGATAATGATATGCATATACCATTTTTTCTTTAATAAAGCACTTATAGATCAACCCTTAGGTTTATTATCGTTTTCGTTGGCTATCGACTTCATAAATAAAATTTAGGGTAAATTACACCGTTTCTCACTGAACTATACTCTCTCTTCTATTTTCCTCACCCAACTTCTAATTTTTCTATTTTCCTCTCTAAACTTTACAAATTGAATCATTTGGCTTATTCACCTGTTATCTCTCTAACGTCATTAACAAAAAGTGTAACACCCACAGATCGATGCGGGTGACCCAATCCGATCCGAGGTGTCACATTAGGGCCATCGGAGCGACCCACATTAAAAATCTCGGAAAAAATTAAAATTTCTATTAAAATGTGTAAAATCATAAAACAAATTATACTTAAAATACAAGTTCAGAAAACCATTCATATACAACAAACAAAATTAAAATCATACACGTTTCAGACTCAGATATAAAAACAAAAATACCACCTACATGCCCCCTTAACACTGCACCATACTCCGCAAGAACTCCGGTGGAACTTCAACTGAAGTCGATAGCTACATTGGATCAATTCTTTTAACCTAGAATAGTGAGTAACAGAGTGAGTTTTGGGAAGCTCAGTAATACAGAACTACCAAGTGATTCTGAAGGACATGCAAATAATAGGTAAGCAAAATTTTCCTTATTGATTCAGACATCTATAATTTTTTTTGATGAGTTGAGGTCCCACTGATATTTCAGGTAGTAAAAGGCATGAAGCTTACAATTAAGAGGGAACGTTCAGAGAATCAGGTTCAGGAGATCAGAATAGGGTGTCTAATGTGTTCCCATAAAACTAGTGAAAAGGTACAGATCTTTTTAAAATAGTAACAGTTTAAAACATATTTTTAAAACCATGGTAAAACCCTCCAACCAAACGCCAATATGCAGTTCCCCATAACTGAATCCATAAGGACTTACCCTAGGCCCATTGGGCATACCAATCTAAGGGAACACCTTGGGTCCATAAGGTCTTACCCTAGCCGAAGCGTATGCACCCACCTGAGGGGAGTACCCTAAGGTCTATAAGGACTTACCCAAAGCACATAGCAGAGGTGCCACCCTAAGGGAGTACCTTAGGGTCCATAAGGTCTTACCACTAGTCCCATTAGTCCTAAGAGCCCACCCAAGGGTCACCTTAGATCCGTAAGGAATTACTAGTTCGATCGGTCTAAACCTATATAAGGAATTACCAGTTTGATCGAACTGAACTTGTCGTAAGTAATTATCAGTTCGATCGGTCTGAACCTATATAAGGAATTACCAGTTTGATCGAGCTAAACCTGCAGAGACTTCATACCAGATCCAAAAGTACCCCGAAGAAAAATATTTTTCAGACAGTAACCAGTGGTAGTTGGAAATCAGAGTTCAGATATATCAATTCAGTAGAAATGGTATCCAAAGATCATGAATCAGACATACATACTTAAAACTTTAGTAACTCAGAAATCTTGGTAAAACACATTTCATAACTGATAAAACAATCATATAACACATAGGGAACACACTAGAGGATCCAATTATTTTCTGATGGTACTGATATTTATCAGGTATGAAGCCATAAAACTTCTATAAACTGATTGAATTCAGGAATGAGATCCCTATAAAAGGGTTTGATAGCTGACATATTCATCAGTTATTCGAGACATGATTTATCAAGATTATAAAGTATTAGGATATTTTTCGGAGGCACTATGTAAGCAGAAAGGTATTCAGAATCCTTTGCATCAGAGTTACTTGTGATTTCAGATATGACATGTGTGGTTCCATTATTCAGGAAATCAGGGGCATTTTGGACATTAGGTTCTTGGAGAATTCTTAGTAATTTGATCTAATAAGGGAGAAACAACGATTCATGGTATTTAAGATTCGTGTCAATTTATCAGGATATCGAGTTAACTCGAACTGAACAACTCTCATCACTGTGATACCTGTCAAACTGGTCAAATCGTTGCACTTCAAGGGTATTCACACTTTAATACTGACAACTCTTGTCGAACTTATCATCTTCAGAATCATTGTTGAATAGATCTTAAGGAGATGAACATGTATTCCAATGGGTATTTATTTCACTTCTGTATTACAACGATATCAAGAAATGTCAAAGTGCTTGATTCGTGGGTAAAAAAGCCCTTATGGACGTAACAACATATATGATCATCATCATTTCTAGACTTATCAAAGTTATTCTATTAATTCTAGGTCTTTGGGGGTACTTAGGTCATTTAGTATTCAAGTTATCTAGGTCACTTCGGAGTTTCCAGAGTAATTCAGTCGTTTCCATAATTCAGAAACTTACAATACTTTCCCTTAGTTCAAATTGGTCATATAATATAATCATTTTTTTCATTTCAAGGGTATTTTGATCGTTTTACACTTCAGGGGCAATTTTTTGATTTCATAATCAGGTAATTTTGATATTAAAGTTTTTAACGATGATAATTAGAATTTAGAGATTCTGAGGTTACTTTCTTTTTCGGATAATCGCAAAACTTGAAATCATTCTTATCAGTCTTCTTGTGTCTATGCAGGTAGTCTCAGCCTTATTCATTTTAATTTATTTTATTTTGTAAACGGACCGAGTTTAGAGTTTTCAACTACACACGTAACCATATTCAACCATTCATTTACCAATACCAACATATTCCATACAACATGCATAAGGTAGTATTGTATTACCTAAATTTATGAACCATATTGATCAACCATTTAAACTCCATTCAATTGCCCTCGAACTTTGATTTCAAGTCTCATATTGTCTCGGATACATAGAAAACAAATTTACGTCAAAAACTGAACTTAATCGAAAAACCAAATTTGATTCTGAAGATAAATCACTGAAAACGGCTTACCGAGTGCGAATTTGGCAAAACAAACTTCAGATTCAGACTCAGGACATCAAAAAAACATAAAATAACATTTTTTTTGAAAAAGTTAACTTTTCGGTCAAAGTCAACGGTCAAGGAGTTGATTCAGTCAACTCGGTTCAAGTTAACTCAACTTCTGGAAGAATTAGCTAGACGACAAGGCCCAAGCGCAACGGTGGTGTGTGGCAGCGTGTGTAACAGACGACGGGGACATGGTTAATGACCTATTACTCGAAACACAAACAAACACCAAAAATAACTCATATTAACCCAATAATCCAACCAGAACATCGATAAAAAAATTAAATCAAAAGAAACCGGGCTTAGCAAACGGTGGAGGCAAAAAAATCGATGAAGCGGTGATTTTAGTTGGGTTTTGGTCAAAACAGAGCTGGGAGTCCGGGTGCTCGGGACGGTGAGACAGATCGATGAGCAAGGTGGCCGGAATCAGTGAAAAATCCAGCGACGAGGTGGGGTTTTCAATCGAACTTCTTTGACGTCTCCATGGCAAACGACGACTCCTTTCAACGAATTGGCCGAGGGGTTTTGGTCGGACTGAGACAATGAGTATTTTGGTTGGGGCGGTGATGAGCACGACAGTCGAACGACGGTTGATCGATGGTGAAGGGGCGTTGGGTGGGGTTACTCAATTGGAAAAAAAATGGGAAATTTTTTAGGTATATCCCTGGGGGGTTTATTTTTCATTGATCAGAAAATGGTAAAATTTTGGGTTAAGTCCTTAAACTTTCCACAGGTTCCCAAAACTGAGCTACAACTTTTAAAACTTTACAATTTGGTCCTCAAATTTTCCCTTGTTACAACTTTAATTCAAAACTTTAAATTAAAAAAATCTTGCCCTAATTTGGGGTGTGACAAAAAGAATAAGGATGTCACTATCGGCCACCGTCGACCACCATAGATGGTGGTCGTTCAGTCTCAAATTTCATGAGTCGTTTCACCTCGACACAGTGAGTCCGAATCTGACCTCCATTTTATTGAAACTTACTCTGAAGTCCACGATTTTGAGATTAAAAATGAAGAAGCTGAAACATTTCAATCCAGATTCACGGGGTTTGGGATATTTTTTTTGTTGAAATAACCATAAGATTTGTACTCACGGGGTCGAGATGAACGATCCATGAAATTTGGGATCGAACGACTATCATAAACGACGATGGACTGTGGCCGGAATGAAAATAGCGTGGTGGCCGGTTGCATTTCTTGTGCCATGTCATAACATCGTTAAATAGTTAACAGTAGAGTGAGCAAAATGATTCAATTTGTAAAGTTCAGTGAGCAAATTAGAAAAATTGAAAGTTTAGTGAGGAAAATAAGAGATAGAGTATAGTTTAGTGAGTAACGGTATAATTTAACCTAAAATTTAATGCCAACATTTTGTCAACTTCCTATCATGCCTTTTAGATCTTTTCTATTTTCAATCTTCTCTTTCTATGCTTGATGGACTTGGCAAAGGAATTTAAATCGATGTGATGCATGATTATTCTTTGATAGTTCCTAGGCATGTATTTTCGTGAAATATTGCTAAGTCTTCACCTAAAAATTAAGTCTTTTCATGTTAAGTTTTTTTCATTAAAAGGTTATGATTTTTAATTAAATAGTTAAGTCTTTTCATTGAAAGGTCTTAACTTTTCAATCCAAATTTCTCTCCCTATATAAAGGCTAAGTTGTGACACTGTAAGACCCCGATTTAGGGGTAAATTATAAGTTTTTGAAACATGTAGTCAATTTTAAAAAGATGCTAGAATTTGGGCACCAAACTTATAATTTACCCCTAAATCGGGGTGTTACACGACTCGGCTCAATCGGCTCCCCTGGATGACAAACGACGCCCACACTCAAGGGCCGGTACGTGCGACGGCCTAGAAGGTCGATAAAATTCCATACAAATTTCTAAAATTGTTTTAAGGGATTTTGAGACACTTACCAAGCTC